GGCGGCCGGCGAGCCGAGAGGATGCTGCTGTCCCTGGTGCTCCACACGTACTCTATGCGCTACCTGCTCCCGAGCATCTTGATGCTGGGCTCGGCGCCCACCTACCTGCTGGCCTGGACGCTGTGGCGGGTGCTGTCGGCGCTGCTGCCCGCCCGCCTGTACCAGCGCGTGGACGACCGGCTTTACTGCGTCTACCAGAACATGGTGCTCTTCTTCTTCGAGAACTACACCGGGGTCCAGGTGAGGCGCGCCCTCCACCCCCCCCGCCCCGCTCCCCCGGGGCGGTGCAGCTTGCAGCCCGGCGAGCACGTGCTGCAGCACCCGGCCCTCCCGCCGCGGGGCGGGGTGGGGTGGTGGTGGGGGGAGAAGTTTGTGCTTCTCACCGGAGGGTTCCTTCTGGAACGTCCTGCAGAGGCTAAGTGTGTTCCCGGGTCCACCCCACCACCCCCCTCCGCGCCCCGGCCGGCTGTTCCTGCCCGTCTCGGTGCCTGGCAAAGTAGGGCATTGAGTCCGAGGTGGGGATGGTGGGACTGGCCCCGTTTGCACGGCCTGCCGAGGGCTTTTAGACGAGGAAGCCCTCTAGACGCTGACCGGAGTGACAGTTGTGAAGGACAACTCTTCGCCTTGCGTCCCTCCCGGGTGAAAGCGAGAGCCTGGCGAGGAAATGAATACATTGGTTACAATAGGAGCCTCACTGTGGATACAGTTCTCCGCCAGCTTCCACTGGGCTTCAATGCGGGGCTGATCGCTGCTCAGATTGCTTTCTTCCTGCTACTGTTTCTTTTTTTTTCTGTGGAGGTTGAACTTGGAAAACAACAAAAGTAGAAAGAAGAGGTCTCCCAACATGGCTTAGTGGTATGAAGTCTCTTAAAAAAAACCTTGCAAGTGTGCTTCTCTTTTAGTTTTCAGTTTGCAAGAAGAGCTCTGTTTGGGATCCCCCTCATGTTCAGGATGGACAGAATGGAGCTGTATCATTTATGTTTTAATACACACACACACTTCGCAGCTCTTTTCATTCTGTGTCAGGGGATGCAGTTGGTTAGAGATCCTTATTGAGTTTGCTCCAGTTGGAAATGATGTCTGAGGAAGGGAATTAGGAGAGGCGAGGAGTCACTTACTATCTTATAAGTGTTTTCCTAGGAAACAGAAAAATCACCGTTCCATGTCGAGGTTTCTGATCAGTTGCCTTTTAGAATAGGATATCATTCAGAATTTTCAGGAATTCCAGGCTGATGGCTAGAATTCCTCCTTCTGCCACTTTACCAAGTGTGTCACATGAATGTATGGTATAACCATGGGTAAGTATTTAATTTCACATATTTTCACTAGCTGTTGGGACAGCTGGGAATGTGACTTAAGGTTGCTGACCTTGCACATGACAAGTACCCCTCAGAGCCTCAGGGACCTCAAGTGCGGCCCATATTCTTGCTGCAGAGACATTCAGGATGAGTCAGAGTGAAGCAAAGTTAGAGAGTTTATTGATTGGGAGAGAGGGCATGCATTTGAGGACAGGCGAATGGAACATACCCCAGTGTTACAGCAGCTGCGGTAGAGGTGATTTGAGGACTTTTGGAGTTACTAGTATGAAGGAGGTAATCTTAAAACTAAGATTAAGAGAAAGAGAAAAAAAGGTGTTCTTCTCCTTTTCCATATCGAGCTCTAGAAACAAACTAACCAGGGTCTCACCATGTAGTCCTGGTGAGCTGGAGTTCTGTACGTAGACCTCATAGTCCTCAAGCTCACAGAGATCTGCCTGCCTCTGTATCCTGAGTGCTGAGACTAGAGGCATGTGCTACCATGTCTGGCCTCAACTTTCTTTAGTATATGAAACTTAAAGGGGGTTCATGATGGTATTGAACAAATTTACACAAGGAAAAAATATGACTAGACAGGAATATAGATCAAAATAAAAATCATAGTGAGTAACCGTTCATTGGTCACAAGAGTTTAAGACATAGGCTTTTTTCTTCCTTGGTTCACTAGCCATATTAGTAATCTTATGTGTAATAAATAGTTTTAGAGAATATGTACAGTGTAAGATAGTCTCCAGGCAGCTGTATCCAAACTCTTACTTACAATTCCTCCTCAGTTCCACCTGAGGAGGGAGAAGGTGAGGGTGAGGGTGAGGGCCTCTTTTGTTGTGCAGAAGCAGATTGATTGTGTGGTGTAACATTGGATTCTGTGAAAATATAGGTGCTTCTATTCTCATTTTTGAGATCATATTCATTACTGAAATTCTGAATAACTTGTATATCCTTTCAGGTTTAAAATATCTTTGTGTGCATGTACATGTGTGTATGGACTGCATGTCTGTAAGTATTCATATTCATGGTTATGGGGCCCTGTGTCATGGCATACATACAGAGGCCATAGGACAGCCTTGGGTGTTGATCTTCGCCTTGTACTTCAAGTCAGGGTCTCTTGCTCCTCATGTGTGTGCCAGCTCAGCTGGCTTTTGAGTTTCCAGATCCTCTCCTGTGTCTGCTTCCTTCTCACTGCAGGAGCACTGGATTACACACAGCGGCTTGTCTGGCTTTCTGTGGGGTCTGGGGATCTGAATTCAGGACCTCATGCTTATGTGACAGGTGCTCTACCCACTGAGCCATCTGCCCACACCAGTGTAGAGCTTTTTTCAGGTTCCTGTAGTTAGTCACTACTGAAAGTGAGCAGTGTGTCCCTTTTCCCATTTATTCCTTTAGTTTTATTAATCTAAAATCCATTGAAAGGGATGGACTGGAGGGACTGGAGAGATAGACGTCAGTGGTTAAATGGACTGTTCTTACAGCAGACCCGAATTTGCTTTCCAGAACCCACATTGGTTCTTTCACAGCTACCTGTAACTCTAGCTCTGACCCCCTTGGGTACTAGTATTCACACACACATATCCCCACCCCTCCATATGCATACTTTAAAATTATTTTTAATCTTAGAAAAAGGGGAGGGGGGAGGAAAGAAAAGCAGCTGGAGTCTCCTTAACATTGTAAAAAGTCCATTTCTCGAGGCTACCGCAACAGATTACCTCAGGATTAGTGGCTGAAACAGATCGAGTTATTCTCACAGCTCCAGAGGCCAGAAGTCTGAAGTCAAGGTTTAGTGTGGATTTCATTCCCTCTAGGATTTTTGTGTCTTTCAGTTTCTGGATGCTGGCCACTCTCTTTGACTAGAGGCCTATCCATATCTGCCTCATAGTGTCATTTCCCCTTTTCTGTCTCAAATCTCCATCTCCCTTTGTATTGTGGTGACATTTGTCATTGGATTGTAACCTGTAGGCCCACCTGGATAATCTAGGATAACTTTGATCGCCTCGAGATTCTTAATTTCATCCTCAAGACTAGTTAAAAACAAAAATAAGCAAGACATTTATTTACTTGTTTGGGTACACTTGTTCCACGGTGTGTGTGTGTGTGGAGACCGGAGGACAACTTTCAGGAGTCACTTCTTGTCGGTCCCAGGGATGGAATTTAGACTGTTGGGCTTGGCAGCAAGCACCTTTACCCGCCGAGCTGTCTTGCCAGCCTCAGAGACACCTTTTCAAAATAAGGGAGTGTGCACAGCTTCTAAGGCTTAGGGTGTGGATGTAGGGTCTGGGGGCCACAGTTCAGTCCTTTACAACAGTGAGTTCTGAATACTCAATATTTTGTTTGTATTTCTTAGTTTAGTGTTATAGCTTAGTATTTGTTTTTGCTTTCTTTGATGTACAAGTAAAAGGCTGGCTTCCTCTGCTCTGGTTAGCTTAAATAATCTCCTATAATACTTTACTTTCTTATTTATGAATTTGTAAATTTACCTCACATTCCTTAAGCAAAACATGTGATTAGTTGTCTAATTTTCAGATCAAGCTGATTTCTGAATAACAACTGACTTCTTGATAATGTTTTGGTACTCTCTTCTTTTTTTTTAAATTTTATTTTATGTGTGTATGAGTGTTTTGCATGTATGTATGCGTACCATGTGCCTGCCTACAGGAGCCAAATAGAGGGCATTGGATCCCTTGGGACTGGAGTTACAGATGGTTGTGAGCCACCATGTGGGTGCAGGGAATTGAACCTGGGTCCTCTGCAAGTGCTTTTAACTGCTGAGCCAACTCTCTAGCCCTCTTTTAATTCTTAATTGATTATGAAATGACTATCTCCTGATAGCTGATAGTGTACCAAAACCCAACAATATGAGCAAACCCTTCAAACAAGACCTCATAGCAGATGTGACATAACCTTTGTTTGTTTTTCAAGACAGGATTTTTCTGTGTAGCCCCAGCTGTCCTGGAACTCCATCTAGACCAGGGTATTTTGAGTTCACAGAGATTCATCTGTCTCTGCCTCCCAAGTGCTGGGATTAAAGTTGTGGGCCACCACCACCTAGCAACTTTTTTTTAATTTCAATTTTTATTCATACTTTTACATGGTCAGATCATAACTGACTTTAAGATTATTTCTAGACAGGTTCTTTATAGAGTCAAATAGAACAATTCTAAGCCTTACAAATGAATTTTTTTTTAAAAAAAAAAATATGGCAAATGCACAATTTCTGCAAATAAAATTGTACTAACCCTTCTTGGTATCAAGTGAACAGCTTAGGCACATATCTGGACATTGCCCATGAATCACATAGACATGAGGAAGAGATAACTTTTATGTTGAGAGTTTATACATGATAGGACGAGGACATTTGCATTTGGTTTTGCTTTTGTACAAAAAGAACTTGGATTATTCTGCTTGGAGACCCAGAATAAGAGGCCATGTTTGTCCTTGAGCCAGAGTTGAAGACAGACTTGTGGGGAGCTGAGTAGGAAGTGTTTAATGCTGGCAGAGGGGTGACTGGGACATCTCCAAAAAAGAAATAGCAGCAACTGTGTCTTGCCATCTTTAGTTGCAGTAAAGCTGAATTTATCACATCTCTGATCAAAGACTCTAGATGAGTACTCAGGTTGAGATCGCCACATAGACTGTAGTAGTCATGATAGAAAATGAAATATCTTTATTTTCTTGTTTATATATATTTTTTTCAGACAGGGTGCCACTCTGTAGCTCAGGTTGGCTTAGAATTCACTCAAGGGGCTGGAGAGATGGCTCAGAGGTTAAGAGCACTGGCTGCTCTTCCAGAGGTCCTGAGTTCAATTCCCAGCAACCACATGGTGGCTCACAACCAACCATCTGTAATGACATCTGGTGCCTTCATCTGGCCCTCAGGGATACATGCAGGAAGAACACTGTATATGTAATAAATAAATCTTAAAAAAAAAA